CAAAAGGTATAAGACTTTTATACATGTATTGATGTGATAAGATAAACAAGCACAAGCATATCACTACATAGATATATACATACATACATGTGCTTAAGCTTACATACATACACAGCTGCCCACGCATACATACATATACAGGTGCTCATGCATACATATACGTATATCCATGTAATCTTGTGATCATCCCCAAAATTCTAGTTTGAATCATTGTGAATCTACGTAGTGAGCTCATATTACATTATATAAAAACAAATTATTTAGTCACACTGTGGGTCATTCAGTCATTAGCATGCAAGGGGCATTTATTTGATTTTCGTTTAGGTAAACACAAACAGACAGAAACTAAACACCAGTAAATTTGCGGCACCTGTGCTACTTCATCCGACCAAGACGCAGTGTCCTCATTGTCGCCTTGTTTGTTGTTATTGTTTATTGACTTTCCGCATTTTCGACTACGTAAATCCGCGTCCGCACTCTGGCTATKATGCATTGTCGAAAGCTTCTCAAATATGTATACAAACTCAACTTTGGAATTCTAGTTGGAGCGTCGACAACAGTTTGATAATTTCAAGTCGCGAAATTGCTAATTTTCGATATTGTCAACTGGTACCTCTAAGATTACAACCTAAACTAACTACTACATGCTAATTGCACCGGGTTTTTATAAACTTTCTCTAATCCGCAGTTGCTACAGTGATGTATCAGCATTGCGTGCACTCTGCACCGAAGCTCATATACTCTCACCAAACAATTTAAAAGAAATGTATGTGTATGCGTTTCTTTGAACACATTCTATTTTAATAGATAAACTTAATATTTTGACTTTAACAAATTCTTATTGGATTTCCGTTATCAATATCTTGTTAGAAACAAATGTAGTATTAGCAACACAAACAGACCTTTAGTAGAGTAGGTTAGCATCTGTAGCCACAATGGGAAGTTAACAGTTGAGATGCGCAGTTTGGTTCAGCTTTCAGTTTTGTCAGTTCCAACTGTTGCATTAGCTGGACCTATCAGCAATGTTACTTAATGACCCTCAAGTATTACATTCTTTATTAATAGTATATATCAGAGCTTTTTAATCATTTGTACGCTTATCTACAAATACTGTCTGTTGAATTTTGTTCACAATTGAACTACATAACCTTTTTATTTGTAAGCTTTGTGCCCGTACTTAACATACCACTGTCCAATAACATAAACGAAATACAACGTTGCCAACCATGGTAAAGTTGTACAAGAACAGGCTTGTATTCGATCATATGATTAGAGCTGATTGTGCTTGTTTGTTTTCATAACATATTGAGTCAAATTTGTTAATTTAGATCAATTATAATAATTAAGATTTAAGTATAGACCAAACTTAAACTGTGCAATGTCTGAAAAAAACACAAAAAATGAAAGAAGTGCTGCTGGAGAATTGCTTGACTCCCTCTACTTGGATATGTTTCATCTAATCGAAGCGCACACCCAATGCCGTATTGACATTGAACGTACGAGCTCCGATGGCTCAATTCTCCTAGCACGAACCAAGTTCCAACAGGGAGGTCAATCATTATCGACCGCACAAATCCCAGCTGAAAATAGTGCAGAGTTTAATGCTCTATGCAGAGTTAAAAAGGCTGCAGACGAAGACATCAGCATAGAGAGACATCCGGTGGATAAAGAGAACGGTTACGTGGAGCCTTTATATTGGTTCAGCGTATTGCCCCCAATGAGTTTACGGAGCGCAGTAGATNCAATTGAACTACATAACCTTTTTATTTGTAAGCTTTGTGCCCGTACTTAACATACCACTGTCCAATAACATAAACGAAATACAACGTTGCCAACCATGGTAAAGTTGTACAAGAACAGGCTTGTATTCGATCATATGATTAGAGCTGATTGTGCTTGTTTGTTTTCATAACATATTGAGTCAAATTTGTTAATTTAGATCAATTATAATAATTAAGATTTAAGTATAGACCAAACTTAAACTGTGCAATGTCTGAAAAAAACACAAAAAATGAAAGAAGTGCTGCTGGAGAATTGCTTGACTCCCTCTACTTGGATATGTTTCATCTAATCGAAGCGCACACCCAATGCCGTATTGACATTGAACGKACGAGCTCCGATGGCTCAATTCTCCTAGCACGAACCAAGTTCCAACAGGGAGGTCAATCATTATCGACCGCACAAATCCCAGCTGAAAATAGTGCAGAGTTTAATGCTCTATGCAGAGTTAAAAAGGCTGCAGACGAAGACATCAGCATAGAGAGACATCCGGTGGATAAAGAGAACGGTTACGTGGAGCCTTTATATTGGTTCAGCGTATTGCCCCCAATGAGTTTACGGAGCGCAGTAGATAAATTTAAAAGAACGATCGATTTGATAGCAGAGAGTGCAAATCTGCAAAGGGAGCTTAGTAGAGTACTGGATGGCATTAACAGGTTACGACAAACTGTTGCATTGCAATAATATTGAATAAATTATATGTACATATTATTACAGAATAAGAATAAAGTTGAAAGTTCTAAATATATAAATAATTAATTATGTACTGGGCTGTTATTTTAGCCACCCAAACCTATCGGAATATGTTAGCTATCGATAATAAATAATTTAGAACATTTGCAATATTGCGCAAGTGGATAGTCTCATCAGCTGTTTCATTTTTATTTTACAGTTTGCATTCTTAGTAAGTGGACAGCCTCGTTGCTCATCATTTTCGTATCTGGCCAATGAATCGATATATATATGTGTAAATATATATGTACATATATATATATTTACATATGTATAAACTTTAGAGCAGCCAATCAATAATTGCTAAAAAGCAGAGTCGGAGAATTGGCATTCAGAACGTTTACGAACCTATTGCAGATTAAATTATAGAACATGCAAATTATGAATAATAGAGGCGTAGCGCCCAGCAGATAACATTGTTCAAGTTCTTTTGAAAAGTCGCACACAAACAACGAGAACAGCGCGCGCCTTTGTTGCTCTGTCTGCGCTTGTGAGCTGCGGGCGACATTCCCGTTTTGAGATTTGTCGCGCGTGGCTACCCCACCCAAAATTTCACACGCTCTCACGAAAACACCTTAGTGCCTGTAGAGTGCAGCCATGAATAACGCTCAGACCAATGGAGCTACGTCAGCGTCTGAGGCRCCCTTGCTGCAGCTGGAAGATGAGGTGGATCTCATTGGCGACTTTGTGAAGCAGCAGCCAGCAGCAACAATGAGTAGCAACCAGCTGGCACCGCTCCTGAACGGTCGCGATGGAATTGGTGTCAATCAGTTGACTACTCAAGTCGAGGTGAGCATTTCGACTAGTCCCAAATTGACAAAAGCAATGTCAGAAACTGAACTCATCTTCCCCATGCACAGATAAATACGATTGGTGTGAACGAGAGGGTGACGAGCGGAAAACGAAGGCCAAAACGAAAGCCAAAAAGAGATCGCGATCAAATTCTATTATCAGTTGACGACGATGACGATGATGATAATAATGATGATGGAGAGAATGATGCTGATAATGATCTTTGTGTCTCTGATGATGTGGCTCACATTGATGGCGCTGGCGGCGATGTTGGTGAAATTGTTGATGTATTTGCTATTGGCAAAAAGCAACCGCAAAGCAACCATCTGCTTATGCTGCACGACATCGGCGACGACGGTGATGCCGATGGCGAAGACGAAGAAGACCTTTTACTGCACAACAAGCAACCCGCCCTACGCAATGGCAAATGCAAACTCTCCAAGGAGAGCAGTGAGAGCGTTAGCGGTACAGCAGGCGTAACGACGTCGCAGCCGACTAGTCACATTGTAACACCAACGCGACGCGGACCAGCAACGACATCATCCGCAACATCGCCGCTGAAAACAACGACACGTTTGCCGCACGAGGAGGCCGACGATATTTGCCTGGTGCCAGAAATCGACTTCGAGGGCATGTCCACGGACGCAGGCATCGACAATCGCGAGTCACAGCCGCTGCTTGGCGGCGGCGGAAGTGGCAACCATGCCAGTCGCATTAGCGATCTGCTTGGCGGACTAGGACTTGGACATGATCACGTTGACCTCATGTCCAACACATTTGGCGGTGAGTGCTCTCTGCTTGCTCTGCTTACTCTGCTCACATCAACAAGTCACAGTCGCAACTGAAGTCGTACAAAGTCATGTGGGGCTTCCTTCGCTGTGCCAATGTTTCTCTGTGTGTGTGTGAGAGAGTAATTCATGTTAGTGACTGGCATGAACTTTATCTCTATTGTTCAGCTTGCAAAGACATTTAATCTAGTTTCCTACAACCAACTGTCATATGCCATATCAGCATTATCCAAAAGTGCAACGAGGCCAATGCTAATTATACCTTACATCAAACATGT